AAATGCGTCCGGACAGTTTATTACGGCAAGTGGAACAAAAATAACAAGTCCGCAATTAACATGGATATATAAATTATGCAAAAATAGAAAAGAGTGAACTTTGAGGTCATGCTGTGCGACTTTGAAAGCCGTTAGAGAGATGAGTGGACGCATTTGAATTAGTAGTATACCAAGGTATCCAGTGATGTAATTTTACCCACAAACGGCCTTGAAGTTTTTAAGCTAATTTTCTTTAAACCACTTTTGTCCAAAAAAGCACATTTTTGACCCAAAATCAAAAACGCATTCTGGATATTTAAAATAAAGACAAGTTTTACAAAGTTTGTATAATAAGCTTTCAGAAAATATATAACATGTTGGATATATAATACCATCTTCATTGTCTAATTACTCAATTAAAAAGCAAGCCAAATAAACTGCATCTCTACCTTAATATGTAAATTAACTTAGATGCTCACTGTACAGTATGCTGGCCATGTACTAGTTTCGAGAATCGTTATCATAGAAACATGCTCGCTCTGGTTTTAAAACGTTCCAATTTCGTCTGCACAGAGGAGGGCTGATTTGACCGCTTAATTGTTTGTTTGCTCATTAGAATACAGGGAACGCAGGAAACCAGCAAACAGATTGCACACACGAGAAATCACCCCCCTTCTCACACGGAAACTGACTGATAGACCTACAACTTACTTGCTTGCTGTCTATCTTATAAGTTCTCAAACTCACTCATTCATACTAAAAAGCATTTACTTACCTAACTGTCCTATAATGCTGGATACAAAACCAACCTCACTTATCTTTACATCATCAGGCAGTTTAGGAATTGGTTCTTCAACTTGAGGTAATTCCTGATACAAATAACAAATATTAACCTTTAAATGCCAGTTTATTAACATAATTTTTTGATTTTCGCATTGTCTGGAAACTTTGTCGGGGTCAGAAACTAAAAAGTTTAACATCATTTTTGTTCCTCCTAATTATTTACTATCTTTAATCATTTGCAGTTAGAAAATCCACACTAAAATAAAAGAAGCTACCCAATGATAATATCACAAAAAGAACTATTATCTGATGGAGCATACATAAGATGCACATACATGTACATGTATATCCAGTATCAAAGCAATTTGAGACAAAAATATTAGTTGAAAATAAAGAATTAAAGATATAATGGCAAAATGAACAAATCTGACAGAGGTGCACCCAAGCTATTGAGATGGCAGTTTTTAAGAAGAAGTTGAAAATAGAATTGTTGGTGGACAACGATGGACAATCACATATATGAACAGCTCTACTCTGTCATCTATGATAACAGTGAAGCTAAAAAAATGTTCACCAATTATCTTAGGGATCTATACAAGCATTTGCATCATATTTTATTTTTATATTCAAATATGATATCATAAATAACCAAATATGATGCAGATAAGATACAAATATCAAGTTTGACAACGAATATTATTAAACTTCTACATATATCTTGTCTGACAACACAATTATTGTATTAGTTTCATGTCCTTATCAGCAACAGTACTTAAAATATTACAGTTATGCATAATATTGAGGTAACATGACCATATAGTCATCTCATTAGTCGTATTTCATGCCCAATGCTTTCAATATAGCACCGAATGCACATCCCTAACTGCAACATTAGATATTAGTTATGAATATTAATGAGGTCACATGATATATTAGTCATATCTCTTGTCAAATGCCTCCATCTTAGTTGAATGTTCTTACTTCAACAGAGCTTAGTATTACATTTGTGCATATTAATGAGGTCA